ATCTTTAAAGTCATGATTCTGAACTCTAGGTCCAACATCGTACTAATGTCCGTATTATGTCGGTCCCTGGCAGTAAGATTCTACCTCTTGTTCTTTTTGTTGAGGTGATTTTTTCTGTCTTGTCATTTTGTCCAGAGGAGAATAGATAAATGAGAGAATAAAATGCTAACAGGGTAACAATGTCCCCAGAAAATATACTCTAAACAAATCAGAAAAGACCTGAAACCAGGGGAAAAGAAAGAGAAAGAAAGAAAAAAGAAAGAGATAAAAAAAGAAAAAGAAAAAGAAAAAGAACAACAAAAAAAGAACAAAACCAAAAAAACAGAATATGATCAAACATGATCAGGCTGGTGCATAGATCAGTGCCACACACTAGATTTTGGGTGTATTTTGGTCTGTTAGAAGAAAGTGCCTCCCAAAATTTTAAAGAAAGAAAAACTTATATATGTACAAAAATAAGGGTTGATACGATGAAGGGATGGGATATGACTGTAAAGATGAAAATTATAAAAAATTTTATAAAAGGAATTGCTAAGATAAGAAGTTGTTTGAAAAAAGAAAGAGGAGGATTAAAAAAAAAGAAAGAAAAAAAAAAGGGGAGAGAATGTGATCAGGCAGGAGACTAGAACAAAGCCATACACTAGAGATTTAGGGTATATTTTGATCTGTTAGAAGAAACTGTATCTCAAAATTTTAAAGAGAGAACAACTTATATATATATGCCAAAAATAAGGGTAACTACCACGAAGGGATCGAATATGACTCTAAAAATGAAAAATAAAAATGTTTTTTAAAAAAGGGATTGATAAGATGTTGGTTGAAAAAGGGAAAAAGAAAAATTCAAAAAAAAAAAACAGTTAAAAAAAATTAACTTTGAAAGACTAAGAATCATGGTAAAAAAGCCATGAATTCTATGTGCAGTATTCCCCTAGCCTGGAGTTCTGCCCGTTCTCCTTGATCGGTAAACTTGGTCTTGGCTGGCTGTTCTTGCTGATCTTCTGGGGGAGGGGCCTGTTGCTGTGGTTCCCAAATGTCTTTGCCGGAGGTGGAATTGCCCCGCCCTTGCCGGGTCCGGGCTGAGTAATCTGCTCAGGTTTGCTGTCAGGATCTTTTGTTCCCTGAAAGCTTTCATTCGGTACAGCTTTGGAGGACGAGAGTGAAAATGGCGGCCTCCCAATCTCCGCCCTGGAGGAGCTGAGAACTCGGGGCCCCGCTCCTCAGTGCGCCCCCAGAGAAAAGCAATCAATCACTCCCATCTCCCCGGTCTCCGGCCACACTCCGTGCTCACCCAACCTGTGACCGAGCGTTTCTATCTCTGGCACCCGACTCGGTGTGGAGTCTCCAAACCCAGCAGATCCCTGCAGTGCGCTCCCGCGGGAGGAAGGTGAGTCTCCCCGGATCTGCCGCTTGTTGGGTCCCTGCTGGAGGAGCAGCGGCCCGACTGTGCTGCGGATCACAGTTTATGGCCACCCCGAGCTGAGAGCCCGCACCTCGGCTCCGTCTCTGCAGCCAGCTTCCCTGCTCTGATCCCTGGGAGCTCTGCCGCATTCAGGTACCCCTGGTCTTTTTGTGACCCCAAGGGTCCTGAGACCACACTGTCCCGCGAGGGTTCCACCCCCCGCTTAGCCACTGGAGCGACGTCTATCAGCAGAGCCGACTTCTAAAATTTCCGATTTTGTGCGCCACTGCTCTGTCGCTTGCCGGTAGCGGCTGACGGAGGTCCCCCTCCCCCGCCGTCTATCCTCCCGAATATCGCCTCGGATTCACTTCTCTGCACATCCTACCTTCCAGAAAGTGGTCCCTTTTCTGTTCAGAGAGTTGCTGCTCTTCTTTTCTTTGATCTCCTGTTGAGTTCGTAGGTGTTCAGAATGGTTTGATCCCTATCCAGCTGAATTCCTGAGACCAGACGAAATCCAGGTCTCCTACTCCTCTGCCATCTTGCTCCACCCCCCAATAATAACGCTTTTTCAATGATGTTCTTTAAAAGATAAAAACTGAGAAACAATAAAATCATAGAACATGGAGTTCACCAGCTCACAAAGTACTAATAGTAGAGACTTATCTTAAAGAGTGAGCCATGTCTTCAAAATGAAAAGACAAGCACTACTTTGCACAGTAAGGAGTAAACTCAGGAAACACAGAGGGTGAGAAAACAAAATGTATTCAACAATATTTGGATAAATCCATGGATAATTACTCCATGATGAACCATTAAAATAAAAAATCATGAAGTTGTTACATAGATCAACCAATAACCCCAGTGTCACTGCCAGAGAGAGAAAACAAAGCTGCACATACCATGAATCTGCTGAGTGTGGCTTTTTAATGTCCTCTTAAGTATGCATATAAATTTATAAACATTTGATCTTTGACTCTAAAACTATAAAATATTTGTCACATAAAATCCTTTTAAAAAATTTTATTAAAATCATCTTTGGTTGCTAAATCTATTTTCTGCATAAGTGTTTTTCCTCATGAAAATACATTGTTATTTTCATGAATATTTATATACTGTGCTTGTAGGTAATAAGGGCTTTATGACACCTTACAGGCACTTGCTACTGTGAATATAAAACATAGTATCAATTTTGCTAATGGTGGAAAAAATAATATCATTCAAGTCGAAGAATGAGAAACAAAGTCAACACTAAGAAAATGTGTTTCACTGATAACAATTTGCTTCAGTTTGTAAGGTAATAGTAATTAACATTTCATGGTACTCAATTATAATTTCCAAATTGTGGTATTCAGTACAATACATGCACAATATAATACATGCACACGCAAAATATTAATACTAAAAGCCAAAGTGGATTACTTTTCCTAAAATGAATGGGTCTAGAACTGAGGCTTAATTTTATTTATTTTATTAAGTAAAATAATTCTAAATATTCATTTAAAATTGAAGCCACATATACTTGTAACTTATAGAGAGCTTTTATATGTAATGAAACTGTACAGTTTGGTGATATTTTACAATAAAGAGAGGATATGATCAAAACTTTGAAGGATTTGGATACAGTTAAGAGAGATTTTGGAAAATAAATAATAAAAATAAAATTCTCTCAATTACATACCACTGCTCTAAAAAAACAGAGAGTCTAAAGGACCATACAGCCCATAATCACTAGCCATGAGAGACCCTATCCTTAACATTGGAGTCAGACCACAAACAAGTCTAATATTGTACAATCCCACAGGCATCAGAAACTTAATCATTTAAAAACCAAAGCATGGAAAGTTGAAATGAGCAACATTCGGTGAGGAACAATTATCAGTTTTATTTGTTTAACCCCAGGAAGAAATCAGTACAGTGACAAACTGCCTTTGTCTTAATAATTCCCACTGCTCAGTCAAGCAGCCCCAGAGAGTATCCTCACTTAGCAACAAACAGGTTTGGAATTAAGACCCGTTTTCTGTATCTGAGAAGCAGTCTCAGAAAAAAATGCCCTCCCCATGTGGAGCTAGTCCTCATGTCGGCTCAGCAGAAATGGAAGCCTTGCCAGCCCAGATGCTGACCATCGAACAGGACAATGAAGGGATAAGTGATTTTAATACCTACTGTATACCATCAGTGAAGAGTGTGCATGAACACACACACAGAAAGACACACACACCTTTATGGAAACTCTTAGGTCACAGTAAAAATCTCTAGAAATAATCCAGTCTGGAGAAAAGCATTTACTCTTTCAACAAAAAGTAAGTAAGAGCTTTCTAGAGACCATGATGTCAATTCAAAGTTGAATACGATAGAGAAAAAGAACAAATATTTACTGAGCGCCAATGATGAGTCAAGTACCATCCTACAACCATAAGTACGTACATAATTAACCATAGTTCATTTTATTAACCACAGTTTATAAATGAGAAATATCAAGTTCAATGTCCTAAAAGATACTTGCCGCAGATCACACAGCTAGTAAGGCACTGTGCCCTGATTCTATCTCTGGATGGCTCACTCTGAGGACTAAGTCACTCCCATAACACTAACCTGCCTTCAGTCCTCAGGGAGATCACCAGTCACCTGGGAGTCAGCTGTTAATCAGAATCATAAGGAGCAGACTCATCTTTCCTGAATTATTATCTATCAGTCTTTTACAGTTATCCTATTTAAGGGCCTTTAGTTTTGAGCTATTTCAAAAGACAGACAGCTTTTTGAGGGGGAAGGGGAGGAGGACTGAATCAGAGACTCCATTACTTATACAAGGTATACATTTTAAATAATACCAACTTTCTTCCAAAAGTGTAAGTTAATTCATATGACAGAAAGTATTTACCTGGAGCTCTGCCACGGTTAATGATATTAATCCCTTTACAATATACTTTACTATCAGCAACCAATGTGCCAAAATTAACTTCTGACTCAATTTCCAACTGACAGGATGGAATCAACCTAGGGGAAGAGAAGACAACATAATTAAACAATTATACCCTCATACTTAAATCCACAGGGGGACGTACAGAAACACTTTTATTAATTCCTTGTAAGACATTCATCTTTCCTTACAAGTCTATTGATGGCATATTTGTCAGTAAAAGGAACTGTGAAATAAAGACATAAAAACAAGATGAGATACATTTTTAACAAAGAAATCAGACTTTATGCATCTAAGAACATGGTATACCCTCTGAAGTACTCACCTCGACAGGCTACCCACATATCTCAGTATTTTTGCTGCTCCAAACATTTTTGGAATCTCCACCTAAGCCTATAATACATTCCTTAGCCCCTCCTTAAAAAGGGTGGAATTGATCTTAACAAAGGAGTTTGGATGACCCAAATCTGATGAAATAAAAGAAGGTGCTATGCTATAAAATGCCATTTGGGAACTAAAACAAGGTCTAAGCACAAAAAGATACAACTGATTTTTCATGTGTGTCTCTAACTTAAAGGGCTCACTGTGGCACATCTATATCATATGTTTCATACACATTTTTAAAAATCCATTATAATCCTATATGCATGTCTCACGAGGATACATATATTTTATATATGGATAATTTCTAATTTATAAACATCATCAGGTATATTATCCTGTTTGATACTTAAAATTTCATGAAAGGGAAATAAATATTATTATGGCTACGTTACAGATGAAAAGCCAAAGACTTCAAAAGCCTCAATGACTTACCTGAGAAATAATTTGGATATAATACTGGTGAACTTAGCCTTTAATCTATTCTATTAGATTTTGAATGCATTACACTTACAAACCTAACAATGATAACAGCACCAATAATAAACAGAGTAATAACTGAACTTTATTAAGTCCTTAGGTTATGTACCAGACACATGAATTAAGTAATTCACTCCACACAGGATACAACCTCCAAAATATAAATACATACACACACACACAGACACACACACACATAAATAAAAATACCTGAACAAAACATTCACAAATACTGCTTTATGCACTGGTGGTGTGGGCCTTCCTTCCGTATGTTTATATGTGAATGTTTGTGTATTATCAAGTATGTAAAGACATTCCAGAGATCAGTCAGGACTGTCCTGTATAGGCTGCTTCTTTAAGCCATACCCATATTCTTCTCATAAAGACATTGTAATTTTGTGGGCGCCTGGGTGGCTCAGTTGGTTAGGTGACTGCCTTCGGCTCAGGTCATGATCCTGGAGTCCCGGGATCGAGTCCTGCATCGGGCTCCCTGCTCAGCAAGGGAGTCTGCTTCTCCCTCTGACCCTCTTCCCTCTCGTGCTTTCTATCTCTCATTCTCTCTCTCTCTCAAATAAATAAATAAAATCTTAAAAAAAAAAAAAAAGACCTTGTAATTTTGTAATAGGAAAAGGAAAGATCAATGACCACAGTGTACATCATTGCATTAATAAAGAGTTTACAGGATCTAAAAGAGGAAATCGTTACACAAACAATATAAGATATGAAGCCAAACATTTTTTCAAACTATTTCTCTAGCTGGATGCAGAAAAGTGTCTTAAGAATAATTTCTTAAGAGTCAACACACAACACACACACACACACACACACACGTATATGTACAAGCATATATACATAGGAGTAAGGGCTTGCTAATACAGTAATATTATAACAGTTTTTCTGGCTTTCCTATTGGTTTCTCTTCCATCTGATTAAAAAAAGTCTTTCCAAGAACATTTTTCTTTTTATGTTAACAGAGAATTTACGTTAAGAGACAAGAGAAGGGGGCACCTGAGTGGCTCAGTGGGTTAAGCCTTTACCTTCAGCTCAGGTTATGATCCCAGGGTCCTGGGATTGAGTCCCATGTCGGGCTCCCTGCTCAGCGGGGAGTCTGCTTCGCGCTCTGCCCCTCCCCCCACTCTTGTCCCCTCCCCTCCATGTGCTCTCTCTCTCTCAAATAAATAAAATCTAAAAAAAGAGAGAGAGAGAGAGACAAGAGAAGGGTGGTTACCAGGGGCTGGAGGTGGGAAAATTGGTGAGATGTTTGTCAAAAGAAACAAACTTGCACTTAGAAGATGAACTGGTTCTGAGGATCTAATGCCCAGCTTTGTGATTACAGTTAACGACACTGCATTATGTATTTGAAAGTTGCTAAGAGACGAGATCTTAAATGTTCTCACTACAAAATGAAATAATTGTGTGATGGAGGTGTTAGCTAACACCACACTAGTTATCACATTGCAACATATAAATGTATCAACAGTGTGTACAGCTTAAACTTATACAGTGTTATATGTCAATTGTATCTCAATAATAAAAAAGGAAAAATAATTAAGTATCAAACTTGGTAATTTATATATGGAGTTAAAATAAATCTTTTAATATAATTCATAAGAGGGGGAGCCTGGGTGGCTCAGTGGGTTAAGCGTCTGCCTTTGGCTCAGGTCATGACCCCAGGGTCCGGGGATGGAGTCCCCGCCTTGGGATCCCTGCTCAGTGGGGATCCTGCTTCTCCCTCTGCCTGTTGTTCCCCCTGCTTGTGCTCTCTCTCTCTGTCAAATAAATAAATAAAATCTTTAAAGTATATATATAATTCATAAGAAATTTTAAAAAGAGGGGCACCTGGGTGGCTCAGATGGTTAAGCATCTGCCTTCGGCTCAGGTCATAATCCCAGGGTCCTGGGATTGAGCCCCACATCGGGCTCCCTGCTCAGCTGGGTGCCTCCTTCTCCCCCTCCCTCTGCTTCTCCCCCTGCTCGTGTTCTCTCTCTCTGTGTGTGTGTCTCTGTGTCTCGAATGAATAAAAAAAGTCTTTAAAAAAATAAATAAAAGAAATTTTAAAAACATGTATAGATTTATGATTACAGTAAATCTATTTATATACATATTTGTATATGTATACATACTGGCTACACTTATTCACATGTACATATATACATATGCATGAATTACATACAAATTTACAACATAGTTTATTGTTGGCGATCAGCAAAGATCTTCTAAGTATAAAAATGTAATAAATTAGGATATGATGCTATGGTAAGAAATAGAATGGAAGTACAAATCTGAGGGGGAAGAAAAGAAAGAGGTAAATTTTTCAACTGTTTAACAAATTACTATGGTATTTCCACTTTACTGGATACATTTGAAGAAAGCATGTAATTATCTTATAGTAACATTTATTATGTATAAGCAATTACATCTTTGCAACTATTCAAACTCATAATGAAAAACTTTAGACATTTTAAATGTGCAAGAGAGACATAGTTTTTATGGATACATGAAAAAAATGCTCAGAATCACTTTACATCATTTCTGCTAAAGTACAGATAATACAAACTTCTGGTTTCTAGACAAGATTTCGTAAATATATTTTCCCATGTTCATCCCCATTTAATGTAACTATAAACTCTAGACAAGAGGCAAGCAAAGAATGTTCATAGCAGCCTTATTTGTAATAGCCAAAAACTGGAATCAGCCTGATATCCTTCAACAGGTCAACGGTGAAACAAACCGTGGTATATACATACGATGGAATACTTCTCAACAATAAAAAGGAGCAAACTATTGATATAAACAAAAACTTGGTTGAATCTCCAGAGAATTTTGCTGAGTGAAAAAAAGTCAACCTCAAAAAGCTGTATAACATATTTCATATGGCAAAATTTTACAAATGGAAGACAGAATAATGGTTTCCACAGTTTAGGGATAGTAGGTGTGAAGCAGAAGGGAGGTAGGTGTGGTTATAAAAAAGTAATAGGAGAGATCCTTGTGGTATTGGAACAGCTGAATGAATATCTTGACTATGGTGGTGGATACAAAATCCTACACAGGTAATAGAATTGTACAGAACTTAAAAACTTAACACACACACACACACAGATACACACACACATACACACACACACACACAATCTTCATTCAACCCTTTCCATCATACTTTAAGAGGGCGGTATCCTTATGTTGCAACTGTGATAAGAAGCTGACTTCTGATGAGAGAGAGCATACATTATGGGGACAAGACAAAATTCCTATTTTCAAAGGCAGAAGCATCTTCAACTCTTCTCTCCATATATGGTACAAACAAGCAAATCTAAGTGCAATTCATAGTTATGGCAATGTGCAGAATGGACCAAAAATGGCCATACTTAAATTATAAAATGTAAATTAAGGGATGCCTGGGACGCCTGGGTGGTTCAGTTGGTTAAGCATCTGCCTTTGGCTCAGGTCATGATCCGAGGGTCCTGGGATTGAGCCCCGTGTTTGGCTCCTTGATCAGCAGAGAGTCTGCTTCTCCTCCCTCTGCCCCTCCCCCCCATGCTCTCTCTCTCTCTCTCTCTCTCTCCGTCTCTCTCGCTCGCTCTCAAATAAATAAAATGTTTTAAAAAATGTAAATTATTTGTAATAGGCTACCATGTATAAATTGTTTGATTTCTTTATAGAAGGTGATGTGCTTAATCAGAACTTTCAACAACATGGGGAACCAAATAACTGCAGGTCTAAATTTAGCTCATAAAAATAAAAAATACAAGGGAAATTATAAAAAGGAATGTCAAATACCAATATTCAAATATTAATTCTGCTGGTGGTGGACAAATACACACAAAAGAATAATATCTATGGAATGACACCTTGCTAAGGAAAATGAGGATCCATATGTGCATGTATATGAATAAAAAACATTCTAAACTGTTCACACTAGCCTTAACAGGTAGTTTTATAATGAACAAAAATACACTTTTTTCAGTATAAAATGAAAATGGCAATTTCCTGGTCAAATAAATAAATAATAATATCAAAGTTAATCTCCAAATCAGTTAGAGTTGACCCTTGGACAACACAAGTTTGAACTCAGTGAGTGCACTTCCATGCAAATTTTTTTATAATACAGTACTGTAAATGTATTGTCTCTTCTTTATGATTTTCTTACTATTTCTTTTCTCTAGCTTACTTTATTGTAAAATTTTTTTATACTATGTGAGACATACAATATACAAAATATGTGTTAATCGACTATTTATGTTATCAATCAGGCTTCCAGTTACCAGTAGGCTATTAGTAGGAAGAGTCAAAAGTTATGCATGGATTTTCAACTACACAAGGGTTGGCAGCTCTAACCTCTACATTGTTCAAGGGTCAATCGTACTTAGTTCTGTGTTCTATTCATTATATCAGTCCACATTTTTCAACCAATCTCAAAAGAGCACAATTTAGATTCTTTTTTGAAGTCAAACATCTTCATTATTTAAAATCCAGTGAAAAAATTATGATAATAATTAAATTAAAATATGGATACAGGTTCACAATCCATTTAAGAATACATCATCAAAACAGAGAGTAGGATGGTGGTTACCAGAGCCCAAGGAGTGGGGAAACTGGGGAGATGTTGGTTAAGGATACAAATAGGGAACTAGTAGATAAATAAGCCCTAGAGAGCTAATGCACAGCATAGTGATCACAGTCAACAACACTGTATTTTAAACTTCAAAGTTACTAAGAGATTAGATCTTAATTGCTCCCACCACAAAAAAGAAATGGTGATTATATAATGTGATAGGGATATTAGCTCATCTTAGGGTGGTAATCATATTGCAATATATAGGGTGCCTGGGTGGCTTAGTTGGTTAAGCGTCTGCCCTCAGCTCAGATCATGATCCTGGAGTCCTAGGATCGAGTCCTGCATCGGGCTCCCTGCTCAGCGGGGAGTCTGCTTCTCCCTCTGACCCTCCCCTCTCTTGTGCTTTCTCTCTCTCTCTCAAATAAATAAATATTTTTTAAAATCTGCATATTGTAATATATAAATGTATCACATCAACACGCTGTCTAACTTAAACTTGTGCAATGTTATGTGTTAACTGTATTTCAATAAAACAAAGAGGAGAAGGAGCAGCCATTGAAGTAGTACCAGGAAAGTCATGAGAATAAAGTGGCACAAGAAGGCAATAATGGTTAATAGTGTCAAATGCTGCTGAGAAATGGAGTAAGATAAAGGCAGGAATTACCAACAGATTGGCAACATGCAAGAGCTCTTTCACTGGAAAGCTCAGGAAGACAGCCCGTCTGGAGTTTTGAAGTGAGAGTGGAATGTGAGACTGTAAAGACAGCGATACAGGCTTCTTTACTAAGTCTTGCTGTCAAAAGGTGCAAAAAAACATGGTAGAAATAAAATAGGATGTGAGTCAAGGAAAAAACAGAATACATGCAATTGTTTAATGTTTTTATTTTAATTAAAGATACCAGAAAACTTGGGGTGTCTGGGTGGCTTGGTCAGTTAAGCATCCGACTCTTGATTTCGGCTCAGGTCATGATCTCAGGGTCCTGGGATCAAGCCCCATAGCGGGCTCCGTGCTCAGCAGGGAGTCTGCTGAAGATCTCTCTCTCCATCTCCCTATGCCCCTCCCCATCCCCCCCCACTCTCTCTCTCTCTCAAATAAATCTTTAAATAAATAAATAAAATCTTTTAAAAAATTTAAATTTAAAAAAAGAACCAGAAAACTAGGCTTCCATTTGTTTTAAACACCACAGGTTGCTAAAAATTTGTCCTTTAAGGTCTGCTGTAAGGAAACTATAGACACAATAAACCCTATTATCCAGAGAAAATACGAAATATGACTTTGACCCTTATTTTTATTCGAAGAGTGCTGAAGACGTCAGCATGAAATATGGAGAATACATACCCAACTAGCGGGATCTCTATTGTTTTATTTCCTATTGAAATAAGTAGCTGGTCAAAAGTGTCTTCATCTTTGTCAGGATGGTATTCCACCATAGCCGTCGTCTGAAGTCCAGAAGCAAGTGCTTTATCCAGATTGGTCAAAATCAGTTTGAACTTTAGTGGGAGAAAAAAAAAAAAAAAACAAATGATACATGGTGACTCCTAATAAGGCAATAATGTGAGCAAAGGAAGTTAGAAGTATACATTATTTCAAGAGCTATATCAATACATAGACAATATCCCTTCCCTAAAGGCAAAGACTTAATTACCATATGTATATTTATCAGATTCTAGATCTTTCAGATATGCTTTTAATAGTACATGGGCTGAAACTGACAACGCAGTCAGTTGAGAAACATGTAAATGCTCATAGCCTCCTTGAGAAGTATGAGATACTTAGAGAAAAAAGGGAGAGCAATCAAATAAAAATGTTACTGAATCATCTATACATATACATAATACAGCCATACATGCATATGTACATATGTATGTATACACATGGACATATAGCATTTTATATAGTTTCTGCATGGGGACTTAGAATTCATAACTTGGAGGAAATATAAAAAATGAATAGAATAAAGAGGGAAAAAACACTTTCATTCTTGTAAACCATTTGCTAGACTCCAGGAAAAATATGAAGGGAGAAAGAGAAGAACTACTATGTGTTGGGCACTCACAAGATGTCAAGCACTCTACACCTCTTACTTCTAGAGTCCGATAAGGCCGATGTTAAGGCTCCCAGAGTATAGATGAGGAAACTGGGACTTGTAGAGGTTAATTAATGTCTAACGTCACTGTGACAGTGAGGATTCAAATTATCTATCTGATTCTAAAATATAAGCTCTTTCCCCACAACTGGAATGAGTCCCTCTCCTGAATATATAATCTCTTTAAGGAAGCAGACTATATACCCCTAGAAAGTTAAATAATACATGGCAGGGACTAATTAAGTGTCTTATGAGTCTTGGAGACATAAGTATCATGGAAATCCATGAGAAAGCCTGATTATTATGGGCCGGAAAGGAGTGTACTTGGCCTAGGCTTAGGGAATGGTCCTAAAAGGTGAACAAGCAAGTAAGGTGATCCCTGTGGGGGCAGGAATATCTCAGACACAAGCAGAAAAAAGAATAAGCAAAAGAGTCTCCCAGCAGGCAATTGATAAGCTAGCCTTGCTGGGCAGTGAGCTTCAGTATGTAATGAAGGAGGTCTGTTGAAATTAATTATTCAGGGCTTTTCATGCCAGGCTGAGTCTAAGCAGTACTTTCCAGTAATGAAGGACATAGAGCAGAGGAGTGATTCGTTGATGCAATTGGTCTGAAAGCTTCACACTTCCAGTAAACTTCTGATAGCTTAAAACTATCACAGTCCAACTATCAATCCTCCTGCAATTACAGAACAGTCAGAAAACAAGTGATTATTCCCTGCATAAACCTGTGGGTGTTAGAAATACACATATCAGGTGGGACTATCTTCCTTTAAAGAAGCTGTATCTGCAAGAAGAAAAACCAGGATGGGGTGCCTGGGTGGCTCGGTTGGTTAAGTATCTGCCTTCGGCTCAGGTCATGATCCCAGTGTCCTGGGATGCAGCACCGCATCAGGCTCCCTGCTCAGTGGGGAGCTTGCTTCTCCCTCTCCCTCTGCCCCTCCCCCGGCTCATGCACACTCTCTCTCAAATAAATAATCTTTAAAAAAAAAAAAAGAAGAAGAAGAAGAAGGAAAACCAGGGCTTCAGCAGCATGTGCTTTTGGTCAAATTAGAAGTTGCTGAGCCCTCTGAGCGGTATGCAAAGGTGTGTAAGACACCATCCCTACCTAGGAGCTGATGGATGGACCACTGAGGTAAAACTAACATTTACTAGCAGTCATTGGGACTCAAGTCCAAACTATAATAAATGTCTGTTAATGCAACTGGTATCCAGTAGGGAAGAAATAATTTGGAGATAATATGATAAGACTTAGAGAACAAAAGGGAGCTCACTTTGACCCTCAAAGATGGGTAGGGTTTGGAAAAGGGTGATACTTGCAGGCGGTGGGAATGAAAACATGGGTCGAAAGAAAAGGGAGTCTAGGGGCACCTGGGTGGCTCCGTCAGTTAAGCGTCTGCCTTCCGCTCAGGTCATGATCTCAGGGCCCTGGGATCGAGTCCCACATCCATCAGGCTCTCTGCTCAGCGGGGAGTCTGCTTCTCCCTCTCCCTCTGTGCTCTCTCACTCTCGCTCTCACTCTAGCTCTCTCTCAAATAAATAAATAAAATCTTTAAGAAAAAGAAAAGGGAGTCTGAGCCATGGGGGTAAAGGGGGCAATTACAAGTAAGACTGGCTTGACTGATCCAGCAGCCACGAAGTGACTAAAGATGAGGGCTGTGTCTTCTTTATATTCTACCAGCAACCCACAGTAGATGGTACGTAGCACTGCATATAGGTCATACTAGGTAGTCAACACAAAGACAATGCAGCCTCTTTTTTTTTTTTTTTTATTTGACAGAGACACAGCAAGAGAGGGAACACAAGCAGGGGGAGTGGAGGAGGGAGAAGCAGGCTTCCCGCTGAGCAGGGAGCCCAATGCAGGCTCAATCCCAGGACCCTGGGATCACGCCTGGGATCATGACTGGAGCCGAAGGCAGACGCTTAATGACTGAGCCACCCAGGAGCCCCACAAGGCAGCCTCTTGAGCCAGGGTGGAAAACAAGTACTACTGTCTGTTAGGAGCATCATTTTGTAAATAATTATAAACAGTGGTGATGACAATGCTCTTTTTTTTAAATTTTTTATTGTTATGTTAATCACCATACATTACATCATTAGTTTTTGATGTAGTGTTCCATGATTCATTGTTTGTGCATAACACCCAGTGCTCCACACAGAATGTGCCCTCTTTAATACCCATCACCAGGCTAACCCATCCCCCACCCTCCTCCCCTCTAGAACCCTCAGTTTGTTTCTCAGAGTCCATCGTCTCTCATGGTTCGTCTCCCCCTCCGACTTACTCCCCTTCATTCTTCCCCTCCTGCTATCTTCTTCTTTTTCTTTTTTCTTAACATATGTTGCATTATTTGTTTCAGAATGCTCTTTATAGAGTACTTTGTTTTTATTTATTTTCTCTACAAGATAACTAATACATTTTTTGCTAATCTATCTCTTTCCTAATTCCCTTTATGTCTATGAAGGACCAGGAGTGCATATCATGGTCTTGCAACAAAGAGAAGTTCACAATGATATTGGGCGCATGACTTTGGCCTCTAATTTGTAAGCTTACCTGGCCATTCTCTTGTCAGTGTCAAGACTTGTGATCTACATAGTTTTCCTTTATAATTCTTGATACAAACCAAAACAAATTATATCATTTTTCTCCTGACTGCACAAAAGCCACCCATACGAGTGTCTCCTGGGCATCCATAAAATAGTGTTTGCTCCCATCTGGGATTTTCAGACACACTTTCAATTGTTCAGTAAATACATAGTGAGGTAGTGAAATAACCAACTTTTTCCTTAATTTTACAGTATTTGGAGTAATCAGGTCATTTTTGATTTAGAGGTTTTTTTTTTAAGATTTTATTTATTTATTTGAGAGAGAGAGAATGAGAGATAGAGAGCACGAGAGGGAAGAGAGTCAGAGGGAGAAGCAGATTCCCTGCTGAGCAGGGAGCCCATGTGGGACTCGATCCCCGAACTCCAGGATCATGACCTGAGCCGAAGGCAGTCGCTTAACCAACTGAGCCACCCAGGCGCCCTGATTTAAAGAGGTAATAGCCTCTTGTGACGTACTACTTCATTACAAAATACATATTACTATTGTTAAAACATGCAAATATAAAAATGAACAAAGCATGATTCCATTTATATGAAACTCAAGAAAGAGCAAAACTAATCTGTGGTGTTAGAAATCAGTACAGTGGTCACCTCCATGGGGTGATTACTCCAGGTTACTGAAGGGAACCTTCTAGAGTGGTGGAAATATTCTACGATTTGACCCAAACGGTGGCTACATGGGTGTATAAATATATAATAATTCATCAAATTTTACTTTCTAGATTTGTTCACTTTAGTGTAGGTAAATAGTATATCAATTTTTTTAAGTGTAAAAAGTATAACATGAAAGGCCTTTTTCTTATTGTCCTAATCACTACGGTACATTTTTCAAACAAATACATGTAATTTTAACAAAAAAATTACAGATACCTTTCTATTTTTGTACCTATAAGTTCAGCTGCATTCAATACTATTTATCATTAGGAATGTCCCACAAAAAAAAAAATCAGGTTATTTATCACTTACATATCAAAAATTCTTATCACCTTTCTTATATCAAAAGTCTTCCTGGTAACAGGTGATCATAGTAAACATCCACTCACACACATGATCTAAAATAACAGTGAGGCTGAGATACAATTTTGTCAACTTTTAAGTCAGAAGATTGGGACAGCCTCTCGAAACATTAATTTTGCATAGTAGGTGCTCAACAAATGTCTGTTAGAATATGAATTTCGTTGAGGTAATTCTACAGTATATAAGCATAAATTCTAGGCTGTTAGGCGACAGACAAGGAATCCCCTTTCCCTTCTTTCCAAACGCAGAATGATGAAGTTGGGAGGTTCTAGATCTACTTTTCCCCATCCTGTCTCTCAAAGACAAGCAAAAAGTAAAAACACAAAACAAAACAAAAAGGCTAGCACACGTAAACACTCAGAGACCTAAACCGCCGCTCCCCAGGAAATCAATCCTGCCCCCATCCCCGCAGGTGCCCGGCGTCTACTCTCCCGGACAAAGCAGGCGCCCAGGTGGGGAGGCGCTCTCAGAGCCCGGACGCTCCTTAGGTCCTGCTCCAGCACCCCCCGAGTGTGTTACCTGTGGCTTGAGGGGCTCCTGAAACCGGATTTTCTGGTTGCAAGGGCCGAGATTGTGTACAGTAACTGGGAGGCGGTACACCCTCCCGGCCAGCGTGTCCAGGAACTTCACCTCCGAAGGGGTCACCCGCAGCTGCACCTCCTTCTTTGGGGTCTCCACCTCCCGGGGGACCAGGGAGCCCGTCTCTGTCTCCATGGCGGCCCTCTAGGTGGCCTGCAAACCGTGGCTGACTTGACTTACAGAGGGCCAGCGTGGACGCCGTCGCTAGGCAACCGACGGACGCCGCGCGCTCGCCTCAAGCTCCACCCCCATTGGTTCAGCCCAAACTTTATGAGCTGGCTTTCCCGAACAGAGAATGCAGGCTTCTGGGGAAAGAACACAAGGATCACAGGTGTCACCAGAGAAGCTGGAAAACGTTCTACGACAGCCCAAATCCCGGAGGCATCTCACTTCGTCATGGCCTGGCAGGATTTTAAGATGGCATGGGGGAGTAGGCATTTTCCTGGACCTCTCTTCTTAAGGCAAAGCTTAAAGAGCAGGGGAAGTGATGTTGCCCACGGAGTCTATTAAAGCAACAAATTGTAACAGTAACAGGGGAATTCAATGGAAGCAGAGTCAGGGCCCCCTGGGTGTCCTGCTCGTTGGCCTTTAGGCTATCGTTACTAAAACTGTAATAGCAATCCTCTGGGTCTTTTGTTAAAATGCAGATTGTCTTTCAGTAGATCTGGGGCAGGGCCTAATTTTGTAACAAGGTCCCAGGTGGTTTCAACGCTGCAGGTCCAGGGACCACACACTGAGTACAGAAGCTTTAGAAGTTTTGTTAACTACTCTAGGTGTTAAGTTTCTTCATTTATGAAACCGAGGTGCTGCTCAGAAGACTGAGGTCAAACCTCTTCATCTCTAGCTGGATGAGCGCCTTTTCAACAAGCCCAGATTCACACTGCCCAATCCCTACTCTCTTCTTTCTTTATATGCTGTAATGGTCTTAGGGTTTTAAAACATATTAGATGAGTGGTATTCCCCTGCCTTAAATCTGTCTCTTATCATAAGTTTACAACACGCTGCTTCTAGGAACCTTTATTAGTTTGGAGTCAAGCTCTGCAGATAATATTAATATACTGTGTAATTATATATATTATATTTATAAAAATATAGATATAAATATATTTATATTTGCTTATATATAAACATAAATATATATACTCACATTACATATATATATTATGTAATATTTGTGTTTTCATTTCCTCCTTGCCACTGTACATAACTTTCACTCTGAGAGCCCTGGCCTTTCTATCTGCTGGCCAGTTATTTATCCTTCAAATCCACTGTTTTCCCTTTCTCACCAACTGTTTCAGTCCTTTAAACAGGTCTCAAAGTAGACATGGAAAAATTCTACTAGAGATCATTCTGCTTACTTTCTCATTGTCATCCTTTCCTTGGTTTTTAGAAACTCTACCCACCATTAGAGTTTCCACTGGCTAAGTATGAAGTTAGACTTGTGATTTCTGTTCACATGGCAAAATGTGGACTCAATAGAGAGCAGTTACATTTTTCTCTTAAATTCAGAGTAGAAGAATGGTCAAGTCTGCAGTGGACATTTAGAATGTCTCTCCTTAACCTCCAAGTCTCCGTAACAGTATAGTTCATCATTCATTATAATAAGGGGTAACTTATTTATCCTATTGGTACTGTGGGAATCTTGTAAAACACTTATGGGAGACTTTGAAAGGTTTTTTTTTTTTTTAAAGAAGCGTCTGAATGCAATCCAGGAATATCTATTATAGTGGTTAGAATAATGACCTAGAAACAAGACCTATTAAAAGAAGATAAACAGAACTTCTCTGAACACAAGACTATTAAAAGTGTGGTAATTGATGTGTTTAAATAATAATTTGACAGTGGGTAGTAATAATGATATTCACTAAGCTTACATAGGATTAAAATTTCATCCAGATGGTGAAAAGCCACACTAATGAGACTAAACCGATGACACTAATGCCCAGATAGAGTAGAATAGCCTGACTTGAATGGCAGTGACAAGGACCAAGAATTCTTGTCCCCTTCAAGGTGCACCTAGCTGGACTAAGAATCAAATTGACATGAGACAGATTAACAGAAGACAATCAAATTTAAAGCATACATATGGGGAACGCACCCAGACATGGAAATTCCAAAGACAGTCAGGCAAAATGAGGTCTAGGGGCGCCTGGGTGGCTCAGTCGTTATGCATCTGCCTTTGGCTCAGGTCATGATCCCAGATTCCTGGGATCAAGCCCCACATCGGACTCCCTGCTCCGCGGGAAGCCTACTTCTCCTTCTCCCACTCCCCTTGCTTCGGTTCCCTCTCTCGCTGTCTCTCTCTCTGTGTCAAAATAAATAAATAAAATTTTTTTAAAAAATCAAGAACAAAAACAAAATGAGGTCTATATGTCATCCTGATCCGAGGAGTAGGAGTAGGGCTCTGGGACTTCAGAGGGAAGGAATGCACCTCACAGGGTGATAAGGGCAGATGTTTGGAAATTAGATGTTTCTCCTGCCATACAGATGGATCACTCAGATAAAATTTATGTCTGCTAATAACTGTTATTCTGTGAAAGACCCTCATTTAGATTCCTCTATGTCACTAAGGGAGGGGCAAAATTTTCTCTCAAGCCCACTGGTTTCACTTGCCTTCAGCCCAGAATAATCTTCATGCCAAAATGGCCATCATGGGGTGGATGGCCCTCAGCCCCTACAGTTCCTTCCTATGAAACTTTCCTTAAGTTTCACACATTAAAAGTTGAGCTGGTAGGTTGTCTCTTATTTCTGACAACAGGTCAATTTAGTCAAATTTGTTTCAGGAGGCAGTGATGCAGATGTATTCTCAAAGGTAGGCCTATGATTCAAGTAATCAGGGATTAAATTAAGAGTTGTTTCTATGGAAACAAAAGAAAAATAATGGTTACTGACTGGATCAAATGTTAAGCCAGTTTCTGAGTTCTGAGGGTAGCCAGTTGAGAAGACTTCCAGATGTCAGGCTCAAAGCATCTTCAGATAGAGTGAGGGCAGGTAGTGGCAATCTGATAGCTCTTCCTGGTTTGTAGTTCAAATGTCTCTGGTGGTCTGAGTGGCCCACTGAGCAATAGGCATGAACAGTGCCTATTTATGAGCTATTGTGGCAATTTCTCTGAGGTTTACATCAAGTCATTTATATTTAGTTTGCAGGACTTCAGGGAAAAAAGGCAGTTTTAGATCTCGAATGATTCCAAGTCAGAAAAATGGGAGAAAAATCAAAATATTAGACATATTTTCTCTCTACAAACCACCCTTATTTTTACCAAAGATAGTCAAATTAACACTAATTTGCATGCAAAATAAGTCATTTCCAAAAAAAAAGTGGCCTGATTATTTACATAAGTGCAACAAAAACAGTGGTTCACCATATAAGCTTTTTAAAACCTGCTTTGCTGGAACTTTTCATAAGGAATCTCTAGATTGAAATTTTAATAGCCTCTCAAGGCCAAAAGCCAAGACAAGTATTTGTCATCAGACTTTGCCTGCAATATCTATAGATTTGGTGAATCCCTCTCTTTTGGAGGTTCCCAAAATATCCTGAGGTTCCTGCATGTGCCAGGAAGTAACCTTCTTTACTCACCTTCGGCTCAGGTCATGATCCCAGGGTCCTGGGATAGAGCCCCACATCAGGCTCCCTGCTCAACAGGGAGCCTTCTTCTCCTTCTCCCTCTGCTGCTCCCCTGCTTGTGCTCTCTCTCTCTCTCTGACAAATAAATAAATAAAATCTTAAAAAAATAAAATAAAGTCAACCTTAGTTCTTTAAAGCTGTCTGATCATATCTGAGCCTACACATGTCTTTCTCAGATATGACATTCCAGTCAAAACCTTGGTGAAATAACCTGTGTTTCCGATTGTGTCCTGTCATAAGGAGAACAGATTCTTTTTTTTTTTTTAAGATTTTATTTATTTATTTGACAGAGAGAGACACAGTGACAGAGGGAACACAAGCAGGGGGAGTGGGAGAGGGAGAAGCAGGCTTCCTGCCGAGCAGGGAGCCCAATGTGGGGCTTGATCCCAGGACCCTGGGATCATGACCTGAGCCTAAGGCAGCCGCTCAGCAACTGAGCCACCCAGGTGCCCCAGGAGAACAGATTCTTATTGAACTTATGCAAATAAATATATTGCCATAAAAATATAGGAAATACTCACTGAGCGACACCTGGGTGGCTCAGTTGGTTAAGCTTCTGCCTTCGGCTACACTCATGATCCCAGGGTCCTGGGATCGAGTCCCACATCAGGCTCCTTGCTCAGCAGGGAGTCTGCTTCTCCCTCTCCCCCTGCTGCTCCCCCTGCTTGTTCTCTCTCGTGCTCTCAAATAAATAAATAAAATCTTTAAAAAAAAAAAAAAAGAGAATACTCACTGAGAGTTTCTGAATTCTGAAGGGTTCAGGTAGGGAGAAAAGGTAAATGTTTCAATTTGTTCACAAAGGTACATTTTCTCAAATTGCTGTAAGTCAGCTTAAGAGAAAAAGTTTTCTTAAATCTGGAAAAAATAAAACATTTTTTAAAAGTCAGCAATGTTCCAAACAAGAAGTCATAAAAAGTATAATTATCTTCCTCAGTTCATTCAATCCCATATTATTAATACTTGTTCTGTTTGACTCTAATTTTTCCACTAGTTTCAGAAATTTTTACCTAGTTCAGTTTTATGATCTTAAGGTTATCAGAAACCTGTACTCAGAGGTTTTTTTCCATGAGTCTCATTGAAGATGAGGCAAACTTGCAGGGAGGTTTTAGGAAGGCATCTGAGTACAAGTGTAACTGTCTGTGAACGATAAAAGACTTAAACATGGCCATGGTTACAGATCTGATTCGAGATCATTACCATGCAATTGACAAAGAAATTTGGTTATTTTTATGACACATATCACTTCAAGATAATAACATATACAAACATCAGATAGCTAAGAGTTTCATATAATTCTTATATTTATGTAAATACCATATTTACATAAATATAATCTAGAAGGGTTTAATATAACTTCTTGGACAATGTTGCCATGTAACTTAACATACCCAATAAGTCAATTTAGTTTAATTTCTCACATTTCTTTTTAAATGTTCCAGTGGCCCACTGGAAATTTTCAGTTAGATTGTGGTCAAAAGACTTCATTTTAGAATTTGATTTTGGGAAGTAC